TATATATATAGTCTGTGTTGTCCCTGTGCAGTGAATGACTTGGGTTTATATTTTAAAACATTTTTGATTTTAAAATAATTCTTTCTGTAAAATGAATTACAGGTGTGACCAAACACAACGTTATCATTAAACCTCTACCAGTTTTAGCTTCTTGTTGTTGTTTCTATTAAACAACATTGGTGGTACCTGGGGGGTCTGACCATCATAAGAGTCTGATTATGAGCTAAAACTGAGGTACATTAGAAAAGTTGTATTTTAAGCTCCTGTATCGTCAACATAACATTTGGTTAACAGTCCAAAGAACAAAGTGTGCTCTTTTTATGACACTCAAGGTCAGACCTCATAAGTCTTGTTTACTCTTTTATTACCAAAACTAATGTGCTTTCTTTAAATATGAATTATTTAGTCATGAATTATTTACCTGTGGGCCAGTTTCTGCTGAGGTTTTACTTCAACACAACAGGAACGTTTAAACATGAGTCACCTGTAACCAGCTGCAGGTGGATCACACCTGTAAGGCTGGTTCTCCTTTACAGACCTGTGTGTATCTGGTGCTCCTGATGTCATTCAGTCCTATTACATACTGTGGAACTATGAGTAAAATTTGAATCAATAAACACCACATTCTTGTGAGCTTTAGCTGTTAGTTAGAAGGTAGTTTCATTTAAAAATAGGGAACCAAAAGGATAAATTTGCCTTCATTTTAAAAGGTGGAGGATCAGCTACAGTCTGACTACACAAACGGGCTGTGTTCACACCAACGTGTTGAATCTAAGTTTATACTGAAACTTCTGATCTGATGGATCCATTCAGAGCCATCAGTTCGTAGGGGTCTGTGCTCAGCACACGTGTCAACTGTGTTTTATCAGCCACAGTAACAAATTGGGTACAAACAGCACCAAATAAAACAAATGTCATGAAAAAAATGAAGATTTTTATTTTAGTCATTGTGTCTATTATTATCATCACTTCAGAAATGAGCAGTGTTTGACTCACTCGATGGACATCCTGGCCACAGGCTCTAAGGACGTGTAGCCGGCTGCGGTGAAGTTGTCTCTGTAGCGCTCCATCTTGATGGCTTCCAGCCACTCCCCCACAGAGCGGAACGCAGCGAAGTCTGGCGTGCTCTGATCTAACAGCGGGCTAATTGGTCTGCGGGATGAACACAGAGACACGTTCACGTCTGATGGGAACAGGAAGTCTTCCTCTGAAATCAGAATCAAGCACGAGGCGAGACAAAACAACGAGCCCAGGCTTCCAGCAGGGCGGGAAATTAGAAAAGAGGGGGAAAAAAAACGGTGCTATTTAGAGGTTTTGATCCAAAAGCAAGTCATAAACAGATGCAGCGTGTCTTGTCTGCACTTCTAAAAAATCTTTTAGTCAATATCTTTTCAATCTGAATACATTCCTGAAGACATGCCCCCCGTCTCTGTTTTAACCCGGTGTACCCTCAGCTGCTCTCAGGAAGCTGTCCTGACTGCACAGAGCTCGTCTGACAGATGTCAGAGAGGCCGGCTCTGCCTGCGCTCTCTGAAGTACCAGGAACTCATTACAGAGATTGATTTAAAAGGCCCGTTATTGACCATAAAGCCATATAGAGGCTGCTGCAGGAATCGATTCCCCACAAATTATCTTTCATCTTTGAAGCAGAGAGGCTGAATCATCCACCCAACAGCTATTAATACTTGAGAAGAAAAGTAGGAATTCTTTACGGCGTCAGTCCACATTTTCAAACGATTCAGTTCAGGTTTTATTTCCGTACCGTGTACATGTCCCCACAGGGGTTTTTAACGTGTTCGGGTTGCGGATCATTTTATCAAGGATGCCAACATTCTGATCAAACTTGGGTCGCTCAGCTCGGTCTTTCTGCCAGCAGTCCAGCATCAGCTGATGTAAGCCTGGAGGACAGTCCATGGGGGCGGGCAGACGGTAGCCTTCCTCTATGGCTTTGATCACCTGAACACAAGAAAACACTCAACATTTTAATATCAACTGGTTTACTGAAGGACAAACTCTGGTAAGCACAAACATTAACCCCCCTCCTGAAAATGTTGGAAACTTCGTTCTCAACCTGCAGCCTGACCTAAAACACAACAAGTACCGTATTTATTCGTGTATAATACGATCTCATGTATAATACRACCCCCACTTTTTTGAGCTTAAAAAGTATAAAAAATTGAATCCTCAAACTACCTCCAATTTCATACAGACTTAAGATTTTTCAGCCTTTGCAGTCTTTATACATATCAGTAAAATGATCATTGGACCATTCATTGTTTTTAACAGCATATGTACTAAAAGGTATTTTGACAACAAATATATGTATATCAGCTGTAGCAGCATCATATGAATTCTGGCATTTTACACATAGTCCACCAGGAGAGCCAATCAGATTTTATTTATATTTACA